CCCCCCGCGGGGGGGGGGGGGGGGGGGGGGGGGGCATGCAGATTGATGTTACATTCTCAGATCGATGTTCCTCTAAAAAAATCAATAACTATTCTTTAAAAAAGAAAAAGTCCCTTCTTCTACTACGTGAACCTCCTTGCCAGGCCACAGCTGACTAGATGAGGTATGCAGCCAATTCATAGGAAACCCACGAACACTGACGTGTGCCAGCCTGAAAGCTGGGCAAGCATGGGATGACGGTGATCAGCTGCACTGATCAGTCTCCCTCATGGCAGTTTGCGCCAGGAAGTAGAGAGCAGCCACCAGTTAGTAGAGAGGGGTTTGTAAAGTATGTTCTCCAAGTTCTGTTTGTGATGGTCTCACCTTGAAAGTAAGGAAAAGGCAGGAGGGAGAGAAGTTGCAGCGAGAGAGAGCATTCCCACAAAACATTGTTATCATTCTCTCTCCCTGGAGAAAGAGAAGTAAAAACAACCAATGTCCGGAAGGTTTTTTACATTTTTATTTCAATTTTTTACTTAAGATAAAAGTAAAAGTAAACCTATGTATGATCCAGCAATCTCACTCCTAGGTATTTACCCAAGAAAAAATAAAATGTCCTTTTACAAAAACATGTGTACAATTTATAGCAGCTTTATTCACAATAAGCCAAATTTTATCAACTGGTAAATAGATCAGCAAACCCGTGTATTCTTGCAATGGGATGCTAGTCAGCAATGGAGACGATGTGCCAAGGGAAGGGGTACTGTGACAGTGCGTGGTGAGGCTCGCTAAGGTGGGGCGTGGGAGGGCATCCTGCTGAGGAGATCCTGCTGGGGTCCTGGAGCTGCTCTGGGTCCGAGTGAACTTGCTTTGGACCCTGAGAGCTGTCTCAATCCCTCACTTCTGCCGGGTCCAGTCATTTGCTTTTCTTTCCCTTTTAGTCTTATTTCCTTATGACCTGGTGGTCTCCTTATAATACACGTCCTCTTATTTGAGGTAACTCAAGTGAGCATTGGTTCTTAAAACCAAAAGAGTGGAACAACACACATGGGGTGGTGCTTACGTTTGCAAAGGCAGAAAATCAGAATAGCAAGTTGTACCTACGTTTGATCATCCATAGTTCATGTAATTTTTAAAAACAATGCATTGACGAAAAGTCTAGAAAAGTCTAGAAGGGAACACCTGAATCACTACATTTCTCATTGGTAAGCTTATGGTCATTTTTTTTTATCTTCCTAATGATTTAAAATTTTTTCTCCTGATTATGGTTCACTTGTTCCTGCTTCTTTACACACCAGGTAACTGTGGAGGCTATGCCAGGCATTCGGTGTAACATTGTTGGGTGCTGCAGGCTTTTTTTTTTATTCCTGTAAGTACTTTGTTGTGGGATCCAATTAAGTCCCATGGGAACAATTTGATCTTTTTGAGACTGTGTGCCCCCAACAGTCTTTTAGTTTAGGTAGCGCTCCCAGGGCAGCACTCCTCTGAGGATTCTGTCCCATGCTCTGTGTGTTCAGGGTTCTTTCTGCTCAGGAGACACAGTTATTCTTGGCCGCACATGCAAGCTCGGGGATTTTCCTTTCTCTCAGTGGTTCTTTCCGGTGGTCTCTGTACATGTGTCCCTTGCTCAGCAATCCCTGGGAGACTGGAGGGGACCCTCTGCTGTGGTTCTTGTCCCCTGACTCACGGCCCTGCAGGTCCCAGCTACCTCGATCTTTGTCTCCTCAGCCCATGGAGACCTCTGGGTTCTGTTCAGACTCCGCCTCCAGGGCTGCCGCCTGGAAACCCTCTCCAGAAGGAAAGAAGGGCACTAAGAGTTCATCTCATCTACGCCCCATCTCTCAGGGGTCACAGGTCTTCACTGCCTACTGCCAAGTGTCTGAAAACCACAATTTTATATATTTTGTCCAGTATCATAGTTTAAAATGGATGGGCAAACTCATTAGTCAACAGAGCCAAATATCAACAGTACAACAATTGAAATTTCTTTTGAGACCCCAATTTTTTAAACTTAAACTATATAGGTAGGCACATTGTTATTAACTTAATTAGGGTACTCCTAAGGCTTAGGAAGAGCCACACTCAAGGGGCCAAAGAGCCGCATGTGGCTTGCGAGCAGCAGTTTGCTGACCACAGCATTATCCCATTGTGGCTGGAAGCAGATGTTCCTAATACTTTCTGAATGTTTCCAAGTTTCTACAATTTGTGTACCAGCTGTGTATACCTACAAAAGTCAAGTCCTTAAAAAGTAAAGTGGTCCTATACAGTAACTCGAAAGTTAGAAACATGAGAAAGTTTTAAGCCAACAAACCAGATTTTACCTTCAAATCAATTTTTCACTAGTGACGACAGATAAACCTGAAATGACAGAGAGTATAAAATTAAAAAACAAAAACAAACCACCACCAAAAACAACTGTGAACATTTCAAAGATCATTTTGAATTTCGGTAGAACCGTGTATAGTGTGGTGGTTGCGGGAGGGGGCCCTGGAAGCAGACAGAAAGGAAGGGAGAGCTTCGCTTCCTCATGTAGCTAAAGCTCATTCTGCCGTGGCTGTTGGCCGGGGGCCTCCGTCCCATCTTCCCCACCGACCTTTGGGGATATTTCTCTAACTTGCCTACGGAGAATGGACATGACCCTTGGAGTCTGCTTTTGTCAGTTCTCGGGGGACCTGTGTCTGTCATTAACTCCCCAAATGAGCCCATCTAGTTGCTGTTACACAGAGAATGGAAGACTCATGACCTCCTGGAGGATTTCTCCTGTGTTCCTTTGTCAGGACCCAGGAGGAACGCAGGCTGAGAAGCACCTGCCCACTCGGAGATGCAATGCACTGGAAATGGATGCTTGATCGGATACCTCGCTGAGATTTATCTACGCATTCCCTGGGGGGAGAGTATCCGGTTTTGCTAGGTGGTTTGCCCTGCAAGCTGCTTTAACCCTGACCCCGTTTCTGCTGCTTATGTCTCTGCGTCA